CATGGTCTGATTGTTGGAGGCATCGAGGCGGCTGGGCATTTTCAATGCTCTCCCTGCTTCAGGCTGGTGCTCCACCGTCGGGGATCACTTCAAGAGGATTGGCTGACAGATGCATCAAGCCTTCAGAACAAGCACTCGCGAGATTCACAAGATCCTCGATGCTGTCGTTCTCGGATCATTATCCATCGCTCAATTGGCCAACGGCGCCCAGCTCTCTCGGCTCTGATCTCTCCCGCCCCTTCAGGTCACAGGTCGCAGAGATTCTGCCCAAGGACCCCTCCCGACCCCTCGGTGAGTGCCCTCAAAAGAGGAGCCAAGACAGGGCCAAGGTGACCTGAAGGGGCTTAGTGCCGCTGAGTCTCACACCACTCGCGTCCGCTTTCGTCTCAGGGGTTTGTCTGATCTACGATTTCCGCACCCTGGCTCGCCTGCAACCCCCAGCGGAATCTGTGACGCCAGGCCGCTAGTCACTGTTTGAGATGCCCATAGTGGCCACTCAGAGCCGTTGCCATCGTCTTTCGAGCTTGCCAAGGCCCGACTGCCAAGTCTCAATCACTTGCGTTCCCTTCCAAGCTTGAGACTTTGCGAGAAGAGTCTCGAGGGAATATCCCACCGGTCGATGCAGAATTGCTGCTTGTTTGCTTTCCGCCGAGCACAAGAATGCCGTAGTAGCCTCGGACGGCGCTCGCAGCATCTTGGCTCGTGTGCCAAATTTGGATTTTGGCTCAGCGGCCTTCTCTGCGGGCACCGAGATTCGACAGGGGAGCCACCAGAAGAGAAGGGCGAAAAAAACGTGCGAACCATGTCGCTCTTGAGACACTGTGGTTCCCCATCCTCGAGCCCCCCGTTCCCTTGGCGTTGACAGCTGGGACAAGGGACCGACCAGTTCGTCTCTCTGTCTGTGTGGTGTCTTCAACCCATGTCGATCTCTTCCTGTTCCTATTCCTGTCACGGCCTCTCCTCTCGGTCTCTCTTTCCCTCTTACCAATTATTCCCTTCGTCCTCAATTGTTGACTGCGTCGACAGTGGAGTCCCTGCCTCTATTTTCCCTCTTCTTAGTATTCTTCTTCAACCAGCCAAGGCGTGTTTTACATTGCGTTGCGTTTGCCGTTTGAACGGCATCTTTTCTTCGTCTTCTTCCGACAGGATCGTCGATTTTCATCCAACGTCAACACAGCTTGTCTGTTTTCTTTCCTTTTTCTGATATTCTTCTTCTTTCCGCTCCTTTTGTCGTAAACTTTATTCATCCATTTTTCGCCAATCCGCTCGTTGAACGACGCCCGAGCTCTGAGAGCCGAATTCGAGATTTGAACCGCCCGTCCGCCGATCGATTCATCTGTCTGGTGAACTTCAACAACCGCCCCGAGCGCCTCTTTGAAGATAGTTCCCATGTGGCGACGACCGCGATAGCCCGAATTTCCACCCTCTCTCCCGGCGCCAGAAATGGCGCTACTCTCCTCCGCCCTACTGGCCCTCTCGCTAGTCGCCCGCACCCAAGCATGGCCTGCACTACCAACCGATGACGGAGACTTTGGCGCCTTTATGACTCTTCCCGTCATTCCTTATACGACGCAGCACGATGCCAAGGACAACGTTGCCCCGCGAGGGCTTCCTCTACCGGCGGATGAGGGTTCGGAGACGATGATGATGACGCTACCGGTGACTTCGAAGCTGAGGAGGAGACGTGTGAATGGGAACCGCCCGCGGAAGCTTTTGCTCGACGACATTCTGACCGACGACCTGGAGGCTTTGCCTGCCGCTCCAAAGCTCAAGCCCCCGGTCTCAATCAGAGGCATGCCGGTAGACGATGAAGTCGACATGAAGGCTACCTTCGTCACCTTGCCTGTCATCCACTCCACGAAGCGTGGGGTCTTCAGCCGACAAGTCGAAGCGAAGCTCGCCAACCGTTCAGACGTGGCATACTACGCGCAACGTAAGCTACCGCAACCCCTCTTCTAATATCAAACATTGCCAAGAACCGTGTTTGTGGACTAACAAGAATCAGTCAACATCGGCACGCCCCCACAACCCGTCTACGCCCAGCTTGATACCGGGTCCTTCGAATTGTGGGTGAACCCGGATTGCAGCATACTCAGCGCCTCCGATCAACGCTTCTGTGAGGCCGTCGGCTTCTATGACACCGCCAAATCATCGACCGTTACTCCATTGCGGACGACGAAGACGCTGCGCTACGGCATCGGCGCTGCCAACATCACCTATGTCCGCGACAATCTAGCCCTCGCCGGGTCACGGCAGACGATGCAGAATGTTCAGTTCGGTGTCGCTACGAGCTCGGAAGATCAGTTCGCCGGTATCCTTGGTATTGGTGCGGGTGAAGGAGTCAACACGCGTTACAAGAATCTCATCGACGAACTCGCGGCTCAGAACGTCACTAAGACCAAGGCCTTCAGTCTGGCTCTGGGATCAAAGGATGAGCAGGAAGGGGCCATCATCTTCGGTGGAATCGACACCTCGAAGTTTTCTGGATCTCTGGCTCGCCTACCGATCATTCCTGCCGACCAGTCTCCCGATGGTGTTGCGCGGTACTGGGTTGAAATGACCCAGATGAGCATCACCCCGCCGAGCGGACGAACACGATACTACCCGAACAGCAACATGCCTGTCTTCCTCGACAGCGGAGCTACTCTCACCCTGCTGCCTATGGATATCGCGAACACGATTGCGTCCGACTTTGGCTCACCGGGTCTCGATGCTAATGGATTCTATCCCGTCTCCTGTACTCTGGTCAACCTCAACGGAACTGTCGACTTCGACTTTGAAGGGATGAAGATCAAGGTACCATACAAGGAGATGATTCGTGAGCTGCGCACAAGCCCGCCGGTTTGTTACCTTGGCATTGTTCCGAATTCGGATTTCACGCTGTTGGGCGACACCTTCCTGCGTTCAGCCTATGGTACGTTGGAAGCATGATAATTTTCACCGAGAATCCCGCTAACAAACCCTTTTAGCCGTGTTCGATCTCGATACTAATGCCGCCTACCTTGCTCAATACGTCAACTGTGGCACCCGGACGATGGCTATCAACCGCCCAGAAGATATTCCTGCCATCAAGGGGTTGTGTCCCGGTGCCCCCGTAACGTCACCGGTCAATAACGGTACCACCACCGTGCCCAACACTGGTGCCGGGACCGGCTCAAACTCCGGATCTGGTTCCGGGTCTGGCTCCGGCACAGGTTCCGGCACAGGATCAAATCTCCCAACCGGCGCCTCTCCAGAGACGTCGGGGCTTCCGTCGGCAGGTTCTGGGTCATCAGCCTCAATATCCTCCTCCAGGTTCGCTGCGATAGTGTCAAGCGTTATCTTGACATGGATGGTCTTGTAAGAGATGGGCGATGGACGGGCATGTATATGTTGGAACGTCTGATAGGACATACGTAAAAGAATCATTGGGCATCATGAGCGGGCTTGGGTACTGTGTGTCTGGCGTACTGGAACGGCGGGGCCTCACTTTCAATTCTTGCATAGTGGAGGGATTAATGATTACTCGGCGCATGGAACGTAGCGAGCATTGTCAAAACCGCCCTGAAATAGATATAATGCAAATCACCACATTGGCTGTGGAACGAGAATGAATCAGGGCCCAGTGATGGAGGAGCTTTTCTCGTGAAAGCCTCTTCTGACCTGCTCGCGTCACATCTTTTTCAATATGTGCTGTCAGTGAATAGTATTGTTCGAATTTAGGTTCCAGGTACCGGGCGTCTCCCAGAAACTGCTGTTTCTCGAGGTTTTTGCCTCTTGCCTGCTCAACTATCACTCCGGACGAAAAGAACGAGACATCGCCGGCTCTTCCAACCACCTCTCAATCGATCGGTACATGCCCGCAGTATTGTTGCCCGGCACTAGGTCCAAGTCGATGTCATAGCCCAGCGTGCTCTGCGCCGCGCCAAGATACCTGTAGCCCTGGGGGTACTTGGCCAAAACCTCAGGGGCAAAGGAAGGTACCCTCCCATCGACAGGCACCAACTTGTCCTTCTCGTAGACCAACTTGACGAAGACGGCCTTCCAATCTGTGGTCTTTTCATAGAAGAACATGAAGCGACAGTCACAGTCGACATCGTATTCGAAGCCGTCGGGGTGTTGGAACCGCTGCGTGATCGTAGCCTTCATCTTGCCGACGGCGCGGTTCTTCTCAGTATTGAGTTCGACAAGGGTACCGCATTCGCGATGCATGATGAAGGCACCGGCTTCTTTCCCACTGATGGAGATGCGGATGAAGTCTTCGATGGGCTGAGGTCCACTCCAAGCTACACGTGGCTAGTGTGTTAGACTTTTTCACGGGGGAGGAAAAGCGTGCGCACTTGTCCACACGATGGCGTCGTCGGCGAAGAGGGAGCGGTAGTTGGCCCATTCGCTGGCATCGCGGTAGACCGGCCAGCCTTTGCAGAGTTCAGAAACAGCAAAACGTTCGAGGAGCTCAGTGGTGGTGCCACCGAGGTGGGAGTATTGACGGGTGTGGGGGTCCGTCATGATGACTTCTGCTTGCTAGAAATGAAGAGGAACACTAAAGAAGCGAGAGGTAGCTGGACGATGAAGTTGGGAAGAAATCAATGCCGATGATCAAGGTGGCTTAACGTCGAATGGGTAGGTGGTCAACCTAGGTACTTACATCAGTCGAATGGGAAGCTGCAGCTGCAAGGCAAGCAGGAGACAACCCGAGGTGCATCTTTCCATTTAGCTGCGCCCTTGCACCTGCCGTCGGTTTGTAACTCCGCCATCGATGCCATATTTGGAAGCTTCAGCTCTGGGTACGACTGAGTACCTGCTTCCTTCAGAAGTCGTCATGCTTGCAACCTACTCGACCGTGTCGTTCTTGATGTCTGGGCTGTGTCTCACTAACGGTTACTCGTGCAGAACGTCATGCAAGACATGCTATGTTCTAATCTAATGATACTTTCTAATGTCCGTCTTTCTATTCAGGCAATATGTCAGTCCTTATACAGTTTTGACTTTTAATCGCGGTCAATGCTCTGAAATGTCGCTCACGACCAATCTCCGTCATCCGTGATTCTCTCTCCTCGCTCAGCGTATGCCAGAAGCTCATCCACCGTCCATGGTTTGAAGGTGTGTCCCGGAGGCGTGTTCGTGTTTTGGAATGGCTTTCCAGAGAGAATGTGAGCTGAGCACTTGTCATAACTATCGTACGCGTACTGCTCAGGGTTGTGTTCGGAAACCCATCTATCAACCTGCTTGAGAATCGATGATGGGTTCTTGGCCACAGCATCCCAGTCCGTATTGTGAAAGTTCTCCCGATTCTTGAACCCCATCTTCTGGGCACAAGCCACGCGTTCGAACCTGACGATTGACACGTTTAGACAAAAGACCAAAGTCGACTAATGAAAAGGTACAGACTCACCGGAGTTTGTTTTGAATTCGGAGGGCCAGAGGTGCATCGGTCCTTCCACTTAGATGAAGCAGAGCTGCCAGAGAGAACGCATCCTCGAGTGCCATGGTCGCACCACTCGCCGACGTGGGCAAGAAGGTGTGAGCTGCATCGCCGATCTGAACAACCCTGGCCTTCGGAGAGACCCATTTCTGCCTCGGATTGCGCCACATGAGCTTGAAGTCCACAACTCCATCCTTGGGCGTCATTTTGATAATCTCTTGTATCCAAGGTGCCCACCCTTCCACATATGGCAGAGCATCCTTCGGGTCAGCAGGCTTGGCCCAGTCCTCCTGGGCGTTCCCGTCATCCTAAAACACCGATTATCAGTTAGAATACATGCCAAAGACACGGCTAGTGAATGAAGCATCGACTGACCTTGTGGGTAAGCATCCATATCATATCTTTGGGAGTCTTCCCCATGACCAAATGAGCCCCCGAGCCAAAGAAGAGTCGGCTGACGCATTCAATGTTCCCGATAGCCTCAGCGACCAAAGGATTCTTCAAAGCCAACTCAACAGGAAACGTGCTCCTGAACAGAGCAAAGCCTGAGCTTATAGGTTGCTCCTTGGTGCCGGCTATCAATCGCCACGATCTGGAACCAATGCCGTCCGCAGCAACAGCGATGTCTGCAGAAATCCTCTCTCCGTCTTCAAGCTCAACGCCAGCTTCGTCTTCAGTCTCAAAGTAGTCGACCGCCTTCGCGCCATAGCGAATTGGAATGCCGATGTTGAGAGCATACTGATGCAGCAGCGAATGGAACTCCGACCTGCTCATGCCCAGACCCTCCCCAAGCTTGCCAATCTTACTTCCGTCAAATTTGTATGCATCATAGGATCGGGGAAATGGCGTCTGGTAGCAAGCTTCTAGAAAGCCAGGCCACTGCTTCAAAGTGTGCACCACGGAATCTCCAATGCCGATAATGTCACCTTGACTTTTGGTTAGCGAGAAGATTTTGAGAAGAAGGGCGCTGTTTCGGTGTTACCGTAGTCGTCGAAGTTGGGTCGTCGGTCGATGATGCGAATATCATGGCCCTTTCGATATCCTTCGATAGCAAAGCCAAGCCCGGCAATGCCACCACCGACAACCAAAATTGAGAGACCAGATGACGGTTCACGCCGTATGATATCGGCGGTCGCGAACTTATTCGTAAGGGAGCCCATTTTTGCTTTTTAACCGGCGGGTGATAATAGAGATGATGTCTGCAAGATTGTTACTATGAAAAAAAAGTTCTTAGAGACCTGCCTTTGAATCTAGATATTTATCTGACTTGAAACGTGAGGCTAGAATCATCACGGGCGGGCATCTCGGGTGAGTTGCGGTGCCGACTTGGCGCGGCGTGTGGGGTCGGCCGTGGATCCTGACGATCCTCGGGGTCGGAACGCCCCTAGGTGCCGGACAAACTTGTCAAATCGCTCAGCTAAGACCACCTGCAAGGACAAGAATGCCTGATTGCTTACGGATCGTCCTACTACGAATCGGGTATGATGATCAATACTTGCATCTAATCAAGTTGCATCCAGCCTGGACCGGCCGACGGCAACGTGTAGCTCCCGGCAAGAATTCTCCGATGGCCATAGCTCGTCCTCAGTTGACATCAAACAATGGAACCGGGTACGTGATCGATACGCGAATGCCCATTTGTAATCTGTAAACATGATTCATGCGCGAACTCCATATACTCACACTTGCTGAGCCTGTTATGAGCTATCGACTGTGGCAAGACCGGACTTGTCTCAGGGGCTTTGTTAGTCAGCGGGAACAGTCGAGAAATTGAACAGCCCGAGTGGGCGTGCTAGAATCTCCCTTTACGTCGAACCGTCACATCACAAGGCCGGAGGCTTCGACCGGTGTTTTTCACCTCAGATTGTACAGGCACACCGCAGGTTTGTGATGCGTATTCGTATTCGCTTTTGTGTAGGTGGTATCACCGCCAGTTGTGTCTGTAGTAGTACTTATGGGAGCTACGACTTTGTGTTAAATGAAAATCCGTGAAGGGCTTTCTGTGGGGAAAGCTCTGCGGTGGGAGTGTAGGTTCGGAACTTGAAGATATGTCATGAGCCACATCCGACATCTCATTGGGCCTTCAAAGCCTTAGAGAGGGTCTTCTTTCTTTGCTTGATCATATACGTGTACATTGTGTAAGACCCTTCACTAATGTTAGATGAAAGACTCTCAAGGAATTGGGCCACCAAATGACTTACCGGGAATATACAAGCACAGGCAGAAGTAGAAGATTGGCGGGATAGCAGTGCTGACTTGACGACCTGACTCAATGGCCTTGTACAATAGCCACCATTCGGACGCAATTCCGATGGGGTACAGTGGATAAAAGAGGGAGTATCTAAGCCAAAGTGGTCAACATGAGGGCTTTTCCAAGTCCCAGGTCACAGATGCAGGTGTGTTTACCTTAGCCAGATAAGGCTAGATGTTGCTTTTCCATGAAGATTCAGAGTCAGGTACGCGTAGCGAACGAAATCTGCAACGGACCACGCCAGTACAAGCGCGAGGTATGCGTTAGATGATGCGGTGCTCTCCGGGAAGCTGAACCACACCATCCAGACAATGATAGTACGGGCAACAACTTGGAGTGCCGTCGTGCCTACGGGCGACTTCACAAGACCTAGCCGATGGCATTCGTCAGAAAATAGCTCATGTAAACCTCGTCCCGGCTCGTCTGCCCATGTCACTCACCGACAGCAGCATGCACCACCTCAATCAACGTGAACGTCTGAACCCATCTCGCCCGTGGCTCTGTCGCCTGAAAAATAGCGAATTTGCCGTGGGGGATGTTGGCAACGGTGCTGATGAAGATAGACGCCCATAGGCACGCGAAAACAGTGTTGTACAGCGTCAAGTACACGACCCGGGGCCCCACTGAGCGCCTAGACGCATCGTCTGCGCCCGCCTTGTTTCCAGCCATTCTGCGCACTTCAACGTCTGCTTCCTGGATGTTGTTCGACGTCGAGTTTGAAATCCTAGATGGAGATAAACTCTGTCCCCAGCGAAATCCATTTCTTTCGCCAAGAAGCTGACTAAGGACAACTCCACTGCCACCCAAAATGGGCATGCCGAGGTCGAGCGCGAGTTGCTAGCCCTGTATGGACGCGGGGCCGATCGGTGACAGCAACCTGCACCGAGCCTCTTCACCGAGGATTAAGACAGCCATGCTGAAATGCGAGAGCTTGACAGAGTTTTTGATTTTGACTCATCCACGCATGAAAGAAAATGAGACAAATGAACGCAGCCCATGAGATGATTACCAATAATGCGCATGGGCAGGTTGGAACTTCGGCGCTGTAAAGCAGTTCTCGGAATACCAATTCTGTAGGTGACGTTGGTTGCGGCGGGCGAGAAACTGCCCAAAGCCTAGTTCGAAATAAAAACGATTTAACCAAAAGGTTCATTTCTAAATAAACTGCCTACCAATCAACCAGTGTTTGTAAGTATGCTGAACAAGAGCCGTTGAAAGTGCCGGCCGGCTATTCCATGATTCATCGGAAAACCCGAGAGCGATCAACACTACGTCGGCCACATTACCTCCGACTTCTCCACAGTCTGGGGGAGTGAGATGGCATCTGGATGCTAAATCGCGGGGTCCCCAGCCGCTCCCCAAGATCTCTCGCAAACATGTTTCCTGAAGTGGAAACATTAGGCACATGAATCCCGGTCCACGTGGACTACGGCGGTGGAAGCAATTTCCTCTTCCAAGAGATGATGCAGTCATTTCTCCCGCAGCTGGTGTTCAGTGCAATAGACGATCAATAAGTCGGCTCGGACTATCTGGTTGTTGGTTCCTGAGCCGACGGGATACCACCCCATAGCGAAAGTGACCAGGGCTGGGCAAAGCTCGACTTGCCCTTGCAGAAGCCGGTGGGATATGGATGCCTGTGATTTCCCAATTTGTAGCAAGCCGGCTCTCATCACCAGCACAGAGCTATCTTATTACGGTGAGACTGGGCTGCCCAAAGTGTCTGATCGTATATTTTTACAAGAGCGTGTGCGTTCGACGTCCTTGGTATCTCGTCTCTCCCCACACACACAACGTTCTCTTACCAGCTTCAAAAGATGTTCCGCACTCCGCTGCTGTGTCTGCTCTCTGCATTCCTCTGGGCACAAGACATCATACCAACGGTCAGCGCCGAGTCGATTCAATGTGGCAATCCTTCTTCATTCTCCAAACCGCGCGTCTTCATCCTCTCCGACATCCTGAACGAGCCAGATGACTCCATGTCATTGGTTCGCCTGCTTGTGTATTCAAACCAAATTGACATTCGCGGGCTTTGCGCGACAACATCGTTCTTTTTGAGGAATACGACCCATCCCGAAGAGATGAAGAAGATCGTCAACGCGTACGGCATGGTTGTTGGCAACCTCAATCAACATGTCTCTGCGGATTTTCAGTTCAAGAGCTCCGACGAGCTATTATCCCTCGTCACATCCGGGCCCACGGTTAGTGTTCCATTCACAACCAGCTTTCTGAGGAAGAGAACGATCATAACTAATTACGCCGTTGTCAGGTTTACGGAATGGAGGCTTTGAATTCCACACTCAGCGAAGGCGCAAAATGGCTCATCGAGAAGCTCGAGGAGTCGTCAGATCCCCTGCACGTGAGCCTTTGGGGCGGCGCCAACACTCTTGCTCAGACTCTTCAGCACATACACGCAGAGAAATCTCCAAGTGATGCTGCGCTGCTGCGGTCACGACTCAGGGTCTATGCGATCTCAGATCAAGACGGCACCGGCACGTGGATTCAATCTCAGTGGCCAGACATCTTTTACATTTCTAGCATGCATGGTTTCCTAGAGTTCGGAGACGCAACTTGGACGGGAGTCAACACCAACGCCAACGGACTGGCAAACACCGCCAAGATCACAGACGAGTGGATCACCCCGAACATCCGCGTTGGGCCTCTGGGCGCAGCCTATCCCTTGATCGAGTTCAATATGGAAGGAGATACACCAAGCTTCCTGTGGCTCATTCAAAATGGTCTTTCTGCCACCGAGCAGCCGGAACTGGGCGGTTGGGGAGGTCGATACTCTCAGGTGGTCGATGTCGACGGCATCAAATGGTATGGAAACTCGTTGGATGCCCTCACATTGTCTGATGGGACTTCATACTCGAGTATTCAGGCGACGATCTGGCGCTGGAGAGACGCTATGCAGGACGACTTTGCCGCGCGGATGCAATGGACCCTGAACCAGAGCGTCAGCGCCGTTGCTCATCCGCCTCTGGTCAGTGTGAATGGTTCTGCAGGCCCTGAAGTTTTACGATTCGACCTCAAGGCCAATCAGTCCATCATATTGGATGGAGAAAGCACATGTGACGCCGATCATCCTGAGGATTTGAGCCAGCTCGATTTTGAGTGGTTTGAGTATCCTGCAGCACAGGTGTACCCGCCGCAACCAAGTGGCCTTTTCATTCAGCCACTCGCCTCACCCTCTGGTACAAACGGCGTGCTCTCTCTGAACGAAGCTGGATTTGCGAATGTCACGCTTGGTCCAAAGGTTGAGGTGTCGGTTGAAGATAGCGCCTTCACGGATGGCAAAGAATGGCAGGTGGTCTTGCAAGTTCGCACGAAGAAAGGGCCACATCCAATTAGACGTTACAAGAGGATTATAATCACAACCAAGGCCTGATTAGCATCATTTGTTTACAGCTTAGAGGAGGGACGTAGTATTCTAGTAGGCATCATGATAGTGTAATTGGCAAATATTCAAGATGTACGTGATAAAAATTGCACGAGACCGTTCACTGGGGGAAAGATACATTCCATATTCATGATCAGTATGAAGCAAATGATCAAAGAACAAAATCCCGGGGAGTCTACATTCGTGAGAGTAGCAGCACTGACGTGTTTTACCCGCTCGATGTCATGTTGACAGCCGGGTTAAATATGAACAAGGCACCAACCACACTGATCAAAAGTAATACCTGTGCCCCTATCCTCAAAATGGTCATCCACGCATTTGGAACGGTACTGCCTGGCTTTCCCCCGGTGACGTCAAAAGAAGTCGACCCAAAGCGAGTCCCAGTGATGGACCCGCGAGACAGCCACTGGGGAGATCTAGGTGACCACCTGGATGGCGATGAAAGTACACCGTCAATAGATTGCCATCCCTCAATGTCATGGTTTCCTGTCGCCGGCATGACAGGCGTACTGGCAGGCGTGGATAGCACGGCCCTCCGACGGAATGGATGAGGCATGTCTCCTGGAGGGCCGTACTGTGCGTTACGAGCCGACTGTGGGCTCACGGGGAAAGCGTCAAAGGCCTCGGACTGGGCGGTTGAAGGGGTGAATATCTCGGTAGTCCATAGGATAGTGGTAGTAGTGGGCACCCGCACGGGGCCTAACTTGGTGTATTTGGTTCAGCGATAGGTCTTAATCGGCGTAGGGGGTTTAGCGCAGTTGCTTTAATAAGACGAGGGAATGTTTGGTCTATAGAACAGCATTTCAATAATTCTAAAATAGAAATAGTTAGGCTAGAGGAAAGAGAAAGTTCCACATATTCATAGAATAGAAGATAATAGTACAACCGGGCGCTTCTGTGTCCATCCCCATGGAAATGCGCCGACCACGGCAATATGAAGAACAGTTTCTCTTATAGCAACTTTCAATTCATTTCTATATGGTAATCTTTGGGAGACTCGGAAACAATGTAGCGGGGCAAGCCGAGGTTCGAGTCTGGCAGAATTGTGTAAGACAGAGATTGTGTCAATCTAATTCGTGCTATAGCGGATGGGAAAGGAAAGGACTACAGTTTCGCAATTAATTTACATAATAGAATTATTTAAACCAGAGCTTGGTTTCGTGTACGTCAAACCTCAAAAAGCCACGAGAGTTTGAGGATTCGGCTTATCGTTTCCTTCAGCGTCCGACCAGAGCACGTTCTCGAAACCAACAGCCTTCAGCGTCGACTCCCACAAGTGCTCATCAGCCAAACAATGCGTACGCCCGTCGTCGAAGCGCCACCACCCCTCGAGCAGCCCAAACACTAGATCCAACCACGACAGCCTCGTCGTGAACTCGACGAGAACCACGAAGCCCCCGGGGCGGAGCAGCTTGCGGATGTTGCCGCAGGACGCCGCGAGGCTCCTGGTGGCGTGGACGCAGTTGGACGACAGCACGGCGTGGAACCGCCCGCACAGCTTCTCGGGGGGCGTCTTCTCGATGTCCAGCGGCACGAACTCGACGCTGCCCGGGGGCAGGTGGGCGTACCTCTTCTTCGCCTCGGCCAGGAAGGAGGACGAGATGTCCGTGTACGTGTACGTGAAGGGGACGGCGTTCTCGACGAGCTTGTCGAGCACGTACTTTGTCGTACCACCGAGGCCGGCGCCGACCTCGAGGATCTCGACGCGGGACGTAACACCCGCGAACGCGCGCCCGATGATCTCGCAGGCGAACTTGGACGCGGCCACGAACATGGGCGCGTTGGTGTAGAACTCCTGCAGCAGGCCGCGGCTCTTGCCGAAGATGAGGCTGAGCGGCTCGATCGCCCCCGTGAGGCACTCGGCCAGCTTGGAGCCCGCGACTTGAAGGAGTTCGTGCTCGCTGTTGTGGAGGGGATGGTCTCGGATGAGCTGGTTGTAGATCGCCCACGAGGGTGTCTTGTCGACGGGCTGGTAGGTTCGGAGGAACCTGCCGTGCTGGGGCTTGACCAGACCGCCGTCTTGGAGGATTTTGTAGATGATCTGGAGCAGATTTTGGTGCTTGGGGAGAGTGTTGGTGATTTTCAGAGCCTCTCCGGGCGCAAGCGCGTCTAGGTTGCAGCTCATCCGGGCCAGCGATTCGGTGACGAAGGCGAAGACCAACTGTTGCTGGGTAGGGAACACCTCGTCCCAGAACCCGGAGCATCCTGCCTCGTCGGAGAAGCCGAGGACGAGATCAGTTGAGTTCTTGAACGTGTCTCGAATCTTTTGAAGCGCTGCGGGGGACTCGGCAACTTGCGTTAGTTGTCGAGGTTTGTTCAGCGTCGATACCATTTTCTTGGCCAACTTCTGCACCAGAGGTCCCGTTTCGTTGGTGATCTGAGTGCCGTTGGTGTTAGTCAACCATTTTAAAAGATTGGTGCGAAAGTCTCGGGGGTGGGGGGTGGTTCTTACCCTTGGACGCATCATGATGGAGAAATGATCACCATCGACGACAAACGTCTCGACATCCCCGACTAACCTATCCCAGCCTCTAGGACCAAACGAACTACGCTCCACGGTCAACCACTCCATCCAGTCCGGGTTAGCCTCCTTCTGTAGGCCGCTCTTGGCCGTCAGGATCTTGTCCGCCTCGATGACCTTGTCAGAAAGCTTGTCGAAGAACCCGTTCCGGGCCCAGATGATGAACGTGTGCACCGGCCTGGCATGCGCCGGGAGGGGAACCGGGTCGTAGTTCATGACGCACTTGACGCAGCCCGCGACGTACGTCTTCTGCTCGAGCGTCAGGGGCCTCCGCTTGTCCGTCTCGGAAATGCTGTCGAAGATGCCCGTCATCTCGCAGACCTCGACGGTCACGTCCGGGATGCCCTGAAGCTTCTTCGGACACGCGGCGTCGAAGACGAGGAAGCTGTGGATCTGCTCGCCGCCCTCGACGAGCTGGCGCAGGGTCTCGTAGGCGAACATGCCGCCCACGGAGAAGCCGCCGATCATGTAGGGCCCGTGGGGCTGCACGGAGCGGATGGCGCGCGCGTAGATGGACCCGATCTGCTCCATGCTGCCCGTGAACTCAGACGCTCTGCCCAGGAAAGGCGCTTCAAGCGCGTAGACTGTCAGGTTCGGAGCTAGTTTGGGGAGGTGGAGGTAGACCGCTGCCGAACCGGAGCCGTCTGTGATGAGGAACAGGCGTTGTTGGCTCTGCGGCTGGCCCTGGAGAAGGACGACGTTGCTGTGGTACTCTTCAGGGTTAAAAGGCTTCACCGGCGGAAGGACCACTTGGGGAAGAAGTTCCTCTGACGGAAAAAGGATGGAGTCGTCTAGCGAGAGTGAGCCTTTGCAGATGGTGACGGGGAAATTCGAGGGATATCACGGACCTTGGAAATTGTCACTGGCAATAGTGCGGACCACTTGCGATACGGTCGCGCAGTCCGCGAGAAGAGAAGCCGGGAGCTCGGTTCCAGTCTGCTCCTTCACAGCTCCGATGATGGCAATGCTCATGAGAGAGTCGACGCCGATATCAGCGAGAGAGGTGTCCATGCCAATCTCGCTCGGATCGAGCCCGCTCTCCTTGGCGATGACAGAAAGAAGAATGTCCTTCATGTCGACACCCTCGAGGCCTGGGATGCCAGATATCGGGGAATCGGCGACTGGCAAAGTCGGCGGAGTCGAGATAGCGGACGATGGCGAATTCTGGGTAGAGGCGCCGCTCTCGTCGGTGGGCTCGTCAACGATATCCGCCATCGAATCGTCAAAGTAGGCAATGAGCTCTGCTATCGTGGTCGGGCCGGCGATGAGGGTCGCCGGCAGTTCGATGTTCTGCTCCGACTTCAGTCTGGAGGTGATGGCGACCGTGAGGAGGGAGTCGACGCCCAAGTCCTCCAGTGTGGTGTGGTTCTCCACGTCCTCCAGCTGAGTCCCGACCTCGGCACTGATAACCTTCAGTACGGCGGAGAGTTGCTCATGGTCCGAAGTTTCGCGACGGGAGACCTTTGCGGTTGGCTTATCGGTGGAGTCACTGGTCACTCGGGGCTGCTTGTCTTCCTTCTCGACGGCAATCTTCTGCTCTAGCGGAGCAGCCTTGTTCTTGACCGCATCGGATTGTGTTGCTGAAGGCAAGCCAAGCAGTTGGCGGAGGCGGGCTTTCTTCACCCGCTTGAACTTGAGACCCTCGCCGATGGCAACGGCACTGGTCTCGTCAAAGACGGTCGTTTCACAGATCACACTGCTGCCGTTGTCCGAAATCTCCGCGCGGACGTAACAGAGGTACTGCCTCCCGCCTGTCAGCTCGTTGCTGAGCTTCAAGGCATCGCAACCGGTAGACATGTAAACCACGTCTGCCGGATTGGACGCATTGGAGTTGAGCAGGAAGCCAGCTGTTTGGGCGATGCAGTCCAGCCAGCAGGGGTCGTAGGTGAAAGACGACCCGGCCGGAGTCTCGCGCAGATCCAGTTTGAATGCAGCCTCGGTAAAAGACTGGTCGATGAACACCTCGTTGATGGACCAGTATTCGCTCGAGTAGTCCGTGATGGGAGAGAAGATCTTGTACACCATCTGCTTGAACAGCCGGTACACGGGATGTTGAGATGCGGGCTGCATGAGCTCGGCGGATCTCGGCGCGATTAGGGCTCGTCGAGCTTTCCATTCGTCCTTCTGCGTCTGGTGGGGAGGTGCAATGACAAGCTCGCAGCGCGAGTGGTCCTTGTCCGAGCTGACGGTGACGACGAAGGTGTTGGACCCTGTCTTGGTGGTTGCGCGGACCGTGACGATCTGCGGGCTCGTCGACTGTGCCAGGAAAAGGGGCGAGAAGATGTCAAGTTTCTGCAAAACCATCTGCGCATCTGAACCACCCGGGCTCATCTGACCGTGCAGATAACGGGCTGCGCTCCAAGCCATCTCCTGATAAACGCCGCTGGGCGTGAGTGCGATGCCGACGACGTTGTGACCATCGATCAACTTGCGCAAAGACGGCTCCTGGAGATCGACCGAAAACTCGACCGTGCCGTTGTCCTTTGCGATGTCTTCGGACTCGAGCCGGTGCAAGCAAGTGCCCAAGGACGCCTGTCCGGGACTCCGGGAACCCTGCAAGGGCTTTGTCTTCATGTCTCTTTCGAGGGCTGCAACGCCACCGCGGTACTGGATCCAGAAGTCCTTGAGGTCGAAATGGTATGTCGGGAGGTCCAAGACGGACAAGCTAGGCTTGTAAGGACGATGGAACTCTGCCCAGTCCACGGAGACGCCACTCGTGTAAGCTTCCGCGACAATTTGAGAAAGAGCCTCCCAAGTAGAGCTTGCGGATTGCAACGCCGGAAGAAGCTTGCAGGGGGCAGCGAGTGTGGACTTTGCCATTGAAAGACACATAGCGCCGGGCCCGGCCTCCACAATCAGGGTGTTGTTGGTGATGTATCCAGCATCACGAGCCGCCGTGATCGCCGTTTCAAAACAGACCGGTTTGCGAGCCTGCTCGGCCAGATAAGAGGCCGAGAAGACACCCTCCTTGTCGACCACCCGCCCAAGAAGAGTCGAGACCACCGGAATGGATGGTTTACAGAACTGGGCAGACTTGGCCACGGTCTGGTAGGCGTCGAGCATGGGGTCGAGTTGGGCTGAATGGAATGCGTAAGGAGTCGATAGGTAGGTCGACTTGATCGAATTGCCTTCTCTCAGCGTCGTGCGGAAGCGTTCCAAGGCCTCCATTTTACCGTTGACAACAACCGACATGGGGCTGTTGAAGCAGGCGATGGCGATGCCCGCCCCGGGGGTCTCGTCGATGAGAGTCTGGACCTTCTGCGCAGGTGCACTAATCGCCAACATACCATGGGTGTCTTTCACACACAGCTTCTCAACCAACTGAGCCCGCCGACCGACGAGGAGAAGAGTATCGGCGACCGTCAGCACACCTGCTGTACAGAGGGCCGCATACTCGCCCAAGCTGTGGCCGAGTACGGCGTTGGGAACAATGCCCCACGACTTGAGAAGCTGAGCGATTGCAATCTCCAGAGCCACGATGGCGAGATGTGTGCGCGTTGGGCTGGCTCCGTTCGACTGTTCTCTGAGAATGAGATCGATGAACGGCGGCAGGCCCAGGGTCTTGGCGATGTTGTTGAGTTCCAAGATCGACTGCTGCAACCGCGGGCATGAACCGTAAAGATTCTTAGCAAGGCCGAAGAACTTGACCCCTTGTCCCGGAAAGACGAACACAATGGAGCCCTGGCCGACGCTGTTGACGACGTCGGTGGTCCTTCCAAGGTGTGAGGAAAGTGCCTTGATGAGGCCTTGTACACTCGATGCGCAGAAGGATGAGCGCAGAGGCTGATGGGACCTCCGTGCGGTCAGAGTGTACGCGATGTTCTCGAGTCCTAAGTTCGGATACCTGACAAGGTAGTCGAGGAGCCGTTGTTTGTTGCCTCTGAGCGACGATCGGGTCTTTGCCGAAACTGTAACAACTTGGACGTTGCGAGGATCCTTGCCGATGATAGACCTTCGAGGCGGCTCTTCGATAACCATGCAAGTATTGCCACCCTGTGCGTAGCTATTAATGCCACATTCAATAACACAAAGATAGATGAAACCCAAAACTTACAGTCGCGCCGAAGTTGCCAATCATGATTCTTCTTGGTTCTTTGTCGGTCATGAAAGGTTTCAATTCGCGAGCAATGTGAATGTTAGCTTTCTCCAGCGGGGGAAATTTGCTGTTGATTCTGGTTTTGATCCCAGCGTGAGGAGGTATGGCATTCTCCCGGAACATCATCAGTGCCTTGATAGCAGAAGTAACGCCAGCTGCATAGAAAGCAGAGGTTAGCACGCTTTGAACTTATGGAAAGTGTTTGAGATATACGTACTGCTTCGCCATGACCGACATTGGCTTTGATGCCGCCAACGTAGAGAGGGTTCGTAGGTTCGCGACCGGATGCAAACGTTGACACGACCGAGTTCATCTCGGTAACGTCCCCAGCCTGGGTTCCGGTTCCATGCATCTCGACGTATTGGATTTGGTCGGGTGTCAGATTGGCTTTACGCAAAACCTGGTTGTATAGTTTCTTCTGCGTCGGGCCGTGAGGCTGCGTTATGGACAGGGCGTTCGCCGAGTGGTTCGTCGCGATACCCCTGATGATGCCCTGGATGTTGTCTCCCGCTTGGATCGCATCCTCCAAACGCTTGAGAACAATAATGCCAACACCCTCCCCGCGACAGTAGCCATCGGCGGTCTCGTCGAAAGTCTTGCAGGAGCCCGTAGGGGAGACGAAGCCAGCTCGACTGAGGCCTGCCCAGAGATTCGGACCGGTCATGACGTTGGCTCCACCAGCCAAAGCCATGTCGCAGTCACGACCAAGGAGCGAAGCGCAGGCCAGCTCAATGGATGCCGCGCTGGAAGAACAAGCGGTGTCGAGGACATACGAAGGCCCCTCGAGCTTGAAGAAGTAGTTCAGTCTTCCCGAGCCAAACGAACGAAGACCACGTGTGACAAAATACATGTCGATTTCCTGGCTGATGTTGTACTCTCGCCAGTCATCCGTCGTAAGCCCTACGAAGGACCCGACGTTGCCTCGATCCGGCTTGGCGTCGTACCTGTAGCCGGCTGTCTCGAGTGCTTCGTACGCTGCCATCAGCAGCAGCCGCTGGCATGGATCCGTCTGAGCAGCTTCGCGGGGAGACATGTTGAACATGAGGTTGTCGAAGTAACCTGGTTTGTCCAAGAAGCACCCGAAAGCAGAGAGGGTGGAGTTCGGGGTCTTGCCGGTTGGATCGCAGTGAAGGTCAACGTCGAAGCGATCTTTGGGCACCTGTGCAATGGAAGCAGAAGCCGTCAATACATGATACTCAGAGGTGCAACGGAAAGCTCGACGTCATTCTCACCTTTTTGTGGAGGTCTTTCCCTTGCACAAGAATATCCCAGAAGGCCTGGAGGTTGTCACCACCAGGAAATCTACCAGACATGCCAACAATGGCAATGGCATCCTGGGGTTCACCAGTCTCGGCAATCTCAGATAATTGGACCTTCGCATCTTTGAATCCGGACGCAGCGAGGGACTTCTCCAGGAAGCCTCCCGCGTTAGAAGGGCCGAACACGTGAACCGAAAGCTTCGAGCCCGACGAACGATGAAGAGCTGAATCGAGGGTTTTTGACGGGAAGAGCTTTTCTTGGAAGATGTCATGAAGAGCTTGTCGCAGGAACTCGTACAGAGTCTCGCCGTCGTAGGCAGATCCAGTGGTCGGCGAGAAGAGCACAGTCCCTTGAGGAATCCTGGTAGTGAACACAGGTGAAGTACCGATTATTGCGCCACCATCTGGAGCGGCGAGATGGGACGCATGGAAGGCGGTATATATGGGAAGGGATGTGCTCCGTACACCGTACATTGCCGTGGAGGACAGGAAGGACTGCAAGACAGACGGAGGTCCGCTGACAGTCAACGTGGATCGCGATTCCGAACTGACGTAAGTGTGCCTGTGGGCGAAGGTTGACTACGCAGTCACGTTAGAGATGTGCTCATTCAATGACGAGGGAAACTTGCTTGGTTCTGATGGAAAGCATCTATCTTTGAGCGTAGCTGTGTGGCGTCTTGCCCAAGGGCGACTACTGACCAAACTCCGGATGTGGCTTCTATAGCCACGGAGCGACGGTACGCATGAAGTCCAAGCCTGATCGAAAGCAACACAATCTCTTGAGAAAGCCTTGTGGCATCGGCCAGGCTAGTCGAAGCTGCAGCAACTGCGGCGGGCAAAACCTGTACAGAAGCCAACCAAGTGTCGTGCTGGACCTGGGCCATCGCTGCTAGATTGGAGGAGGCTTGGGGTCTTCTCAGTGCGGCTGGGAGCGCAAAAGGCTTTAGCAGTTTCCTCTACAAACCAGTTGTCTGAATCCACCACTTACTGAATGAGATCGCCGAGCTGTGCTATGCAGAGCAGGACCGGTGACAAGATTGCTTGCGCAGCCGGATCGCTTCGGGCCTCTGCGAGCTCCGCGACGGTGTGAAATTCTGGTATCAACTTCCTGACACCTTCCTCGAGGGTCGACACATGTGTCCGGAGGTTGTTGCCTGCATCGAGGAGGAACTTCTGAAGGTTCCGCGAGGATTTTGCTTTCTGGGAAAGGTCGCGCAGGAAGGGACCAGTTTCGACAGTCTGGTCACCAAAAAACAAGAGTTGATCCGACGCCATGCTGTATGATGCGCTGAAGGCAGCAAAGGCCAAAAGGTATCAATGTAGGTATTGTTCAACCAACTTTCTGGTTTGATGGGAGATATTTCGTGTCAATATAGTCAGAGACACTCAAGACATGGACAACATCAATATTAACATAGCCTAATGCGATAACAACATCGGATGAACACGAAGCCTGTCATCGATCCTTGCAAGACGACCAGACACGCGGTATCAGGCTAACCGAACACCTGGTTGCACGGAGGAACCCCTAAGACTCGGTGGCTTGGCACCGCCAACGGTTCTTGGCCTTTCAAGTCGCCGATGCATCTTCGGAGCCTTCCGTGCTTTTGAAAAAGTCAGACATCAGCATTCGTGTTGTCTCGGACCCTCACGCCGTCAGAGGCAGCCATATTGACAGCCCGCTTAAAGGCCAGTTTAACAATCTTCATTCTAGCCGGCGCTCTCTAAACTAGTCTGAACAAGCTCTGTCCCTGGGGACTACGCTTCATGATTGGTGGTACTCTACATACACCATGTGTTTATGTTCCCCTACGCTCTAGTTTCCCGATTAGTCTCCATGCCGATTCCTGCAAGACTTCGATATTCAAGCGATCCAAGTCCCCCTCGTCACCAATCAGCTCCGTCTGATTCAGGACCTTTAGTAACTTCTGGACAAGCAATGAAACCAGTTGGGTCCGCAGGAATGGAACATCATCCTGGTCAATCGCATGACTTTCAATTCCTGTCTCCCAGCCTTGGCGGAAGTCCCCAGAAGTATTGTCAACCCGCGTGTGATATGTAGGCTCACACCAACTCCACCACGCTTCATCGCACATGGATAATATTACTTGGGCGAGCAGAAGAAACCGGGAAGCCAGCTGGCTCCCGTGGGTTTCTTTGCAGGCCACAATGCGTCGAAGACCACCCAGAGCGCTCTTATTCCAATCCATTATCTGCTCAAATGAGGCTGAAGTGGCCTTCGGATTATGCGCGCTGGCCAGCGGTCTGACGGCAAGTATTTCCCCCAGCACCTCGTCGCATGGGCAACCGCGAGGACTAGGATAGTGATTCGGTTGGAGTCGTTCCAGACTGTTGGCCTCCGTAAGGCCGTATTCTTGCTCTTGACAGTCAAGAGGATGTTTTCTCGAATTATCATATCTCAAGTCCGAAGCATGGGAGCTACTCTGACTTGGTGTCAAGGTGCCCAGGAAGTAATTCTCTCCCGACGCAACGCCACCTCCAGAACTGTCCCTGATCAGGTGTGTCAATATCTGTAAGGGGCTGGCCCCTAGGCTTGTTCAACGTAGAGGTGCCGTCGATTGACTATTCTAAGCTGAAGAAGGAAGAAAGGACTTTACAAGGGTAGGCACCTAACAGCGGTGAAGCAGGCCGGGTTAGGCGGCGTACT